TGAATTATATTTCAATAAGGATATTATTTAATAAAGAGTGGGCTCTGGGATTAGCCTCCTTGAATTTGTAATTCATACTCTGCAGCTTATTGATTGGGACCTTGGTTAAGTTACTCTGCCTCAGTTTCCTCGCCAACAAATGAGGACAACAATAGTGATTACCTTAATATGCCCTTAAAAGACTTAAGTGAGTTAATACATGTTAGCAACTAGATTAGGACGTGCCGCTAAGTATTTTATAAACATGAGCTATTTTCACTCTTTAGTGGTGGCAAATAACTTTTTCAATTCTTTTTACAACACTCTGCATTTTGTGCATACTCTTAGTCCTGTAATGATAGATCTTTTGGTCTAGCTCCAGTTTGTCCTAAAACCAATTTGGCCAGAAATGTGGTTAATGGGATAGTGTTTGAAAATATACATCTTCGATAACTGTCCAGAACTGGTAACTGGATGCATCTTGGGATAATTTTACAAAACCTTAAACATCTTTAAGCAATTTGGTCCATATAAGAGTTTTTATTCTATACTGTTATTTGGAATTCATTTGCAGATTGTTCTGTCTCATAGACAATGATTGAACCTGGAGATAATTTAATAATATAAAAGTCCAGATAGCTGGTCACACTGAGTATCTATAATGCAAAGTTGGAACAGTCTAAATTTCAACAATGTGTCTACAATGTGTAAACCATCATGTGAGTCCTAAGGGTGCAATGAGAATTAGGATTACATACTGGCTAGGTCAGGCTCCCAGGTGTGAAAGCTGGTTAATTTCTGCTCTAAAATTTACTTTGTTTATAGATTAAGTCTATCCATTGTAGCACAGAGTTATTTTGCATTTTAAAATTTTTCCTCCAATACCATTTATTCGGTGCTTGTTCTGTGCCCTGCATACTACTACATGCTGGCAAAACAAACAAAAATAGAGTTCAGACACTGCTTCCCTCTGTGGGGCGGGGGTGCATTCTGGTTGGGGGGAGCCAAGAGGAGAGAGTATAGTTCCTCCCAGAATCTTCAAATCAGACCACGCTCGCTTCAGCAAAAGGACACAGGGTAACGCTTTCATTTAGAAGGAGCAAAGGCTTTCATTGAAAAATCTTTCATGATCCTAAAAAGTGCCACCATTTCTGTCTTTTAAAATTGTTTCCATTTCCACAGTGACCTTTGTGTAATGAGGTGATCAAGCTGAGCTCTTCCGAGGACCCTGCCCATCTGAGTGAGCCCTGGCTCTCCCTCCTCCCTAAGCCCTCATATTCCTATTCGCTGTTTGGACTGCAGCTAAACACTGAGCAAGCATCTTCATTAAACTGTCCACAGTGATTCATAGCTGCCTTTCCCCAGAGGTTACACATAATTCAGAACTCATCAGCACACTGGGGACAGGCAGCTGAAATTGCTCCTTCTAGGAGCTGCTACCTTGTGTTTGCCCACTTGGAATCTCATTTGCTACCTAGGGTTCAATGACTCAGCCCTGCTGTGCCCTTCTAAGGTTCCTCAGCCCCACCTTCTGCCTGAGCAGCTAAGGAGCCCAGATGGTGGCCTCTGTTGGCATAGACAGTGTGTCCACTGCAAAATTGCAGCTGCGTGAGATGAGAGTCTCTCAGAGATGGTTTACACATTGTAGGCACATTGTTGAAATTTAGACTGTTTCACCTTTGCATTATAGATGCTCAGTATGACCAGCTATCTGGACTTTTATGTTATTAAATTATCTCCAGTTTCAATCACTGTCTATGAGACAGAACAATCTGCAAATAAATTCCAAACAACAGTATAGAAGAAAAATTCTGATATGGACCAAATTGCTTAAAGATGCTTAAGGCTTTGTAAAATTACCCTATGATGCATCCAGCTACCAGTTCTGGACAGTTATTGAAGATGTATATTTTCAAACGCTATCTCATTAACCACATTTCTGGCCAAATTGGTTTTAGGACAATCACCTGGAGCTAGACCACAAGATCTATCAGTACAGGACTAAATATACACAGAATGCACACCAGAGTGTTGAAAAAAGAATTGAAAAAGTTATTTGATACATGTAGGGGACCTGGGGTGGCAAACCAGGAAGCAGGAAAATAAGCAGTCTGTCCTTGATGGTCTGTGATCTAAAAATGGTCTTGAAGTAGGGGAAAGACAGAGCAAGGAATAGAATCCAAGCTTGTCACTCCTGGCTTTGGACTGCAGTGAACATAATACACTCTCTCCTACCCATCTTGAGCTCTCCTGCTGAACCTCCCTACAGAATGATTTCTGCTTTTGGCAGGCGGACACTTGGCTGAGTCAGGGAGAAGAGGACGTCCCGGGTCACTAAGACCTAACTGGTCAAGTTGATACATCACAGACTGTGGATCACTGGACCTACGTGTTGAAGAAGAGATAGATGATGGAGGATGAGAGAGATCTCACTTCCAGGTTTTCCTTACTTGGAGAGGACAGGAGCCTGAGTCACACACAAACCAGGAACAAGAAGACAGGTTGAGACGGGTATGTTTGATCGGAGCACTTGGAGGAAGGTGAGCTCAGGGGCTTGGATCAGGGCAGTTCCACCTGAAGCCCTTGCTAGGAAATCCATCAGGCCACCTCGCAGGGGTCAGCTGATGTCCAGCAAATCATTCCTACCCTCATCTCAGCCTTCATTTAGCCTTGATGCCTGACCCTCATCCTTTCTCACTAGCCCTATAACTCAGAAAGCCCCTACTTCTTACCAGTGATGGATAATAATTTAATCACTATCAAGACTACCAGAATGGTAAGTATTCGACCAGATAACTTCATTTAATCATTATAGTCGCTGCATCAGGAAATGGTAACTACAAAGATTACTTTCATTCTACTGATGAGGAAACTGAAGCTCAGAGAGGTGAAGTCATTTTCTCAAAGCCACACAGCAAGTAACTGCCCAAGCCAGAGCTTGGAATGGGGGTGTGGTTGCAGTCACTACCTATAGGGGTCGATGTGTCCAGGGACAGCTCCTACCAACCTCCTCAGTCCAGGAGGGTCTTAGGCATTCTTTTGGTTTCCTGGAACACCTATAGCTTCTAAGGTGCACCAGTGTTTGTATTGGTCAGGCAGTTTCTGCTTTTTCTTTAAAAATACCCCAAAGTGACGGAAATGGCACAGCCATTTTAAGACATTGGACATCCCTCTTTTCTGATTGCTTCCAGGTACTTAGTTGATGGCAACATATTGTCTCTAAGAAATTCCAGCTGTATGACTAATAATGAAGGTAATAATAGCATTCATTAGGCACCTGCTATGTTCAGTTCTGTGCTGAGCAGAGTAGGGAATTTTTTTAAATCTCCACTTTAGAGGAGGAAAGAGGCACAGAGAGGTTGTGCTTTGCCCAAGGTCACACAGCTGGTCAGTGGCAGAGCCAGGCCTTGGCCTCAGAACTGACAGAGCCTTTTAATCCCTGTACTGCATGATCTGGGAGTGTCCTGAGTCGAGTTGGTATCAGCCTTTCAGTTAGTCAGATGGTCAGGCATCAAATATTGAAAATCTACTATGAGCCAAGCAAAGGGAAGGAAGAGGAGCCCAGGGCTGTGATCTGAAGTGGAGGGTGGGTTAGGGACCCAGACCAGGGTGATGGGACATTTGAGGAAGACACCAAAGGAGCAAAGGGTGTCAGAGATAGAGAAAAGAATTCAGAGCAGAGAACTGAAAGAGGAAAGATCTAGCAGTTTCATGACTTTCTATCAGTCCTGCTTAAGGTCTAGGGGATTTGTTTGTTGGGGTGCCACATAAGGACTTATAGCGGTATTTGAATCAAGGAGCAGGGAGAGATAACTTTGAACTGCATTTGACTACAAAGACAGAGAGAGAGAGAGAGAGAGAGAGAGAGAGGGAGGGAGGGAGGGAGGGAGGGAGGGGGAGAGAGAGGGAGAGGTGCAGGAGAGAGAGGGAGAGAGAGGGAGACAGAAAGAGAGAGAGTGTGTATGTAAGGAAGAGATATGGAGGGTAGAATGCCAAATAACTCTCTTTTTGCTATTTTGATTGTCACAAAGTGCTTCTGGAACAGCTATTTTGGTGTGTTTTGTCATTCCACATACACTCAGGTCTGCCGTACTGTAATTCTGCCGGCTTAAATGGTTCTTTAAATTTCTGTTCCATTTACAGAGACAAAGTTTTGTCTTGCCCGTGCTCTCCAGTTCGCTACAGCTTAGCTCATTCCCTCCCAATGAACTGCACTATTTTTTATTCATAGTAGCACTTTGCTACTAGTTCAGCGATTTCTTTCTTTCAACATTCTCCAATGAGCATTTACCAGTTCTGGTGAGTTAATACTGCTCTTACAATTGTGGCCCATTCTTGGGACACGGGGGAGTTCAGGCACTTCTAACTTTTAATTTCACTTAAAATGAGCTTATAACTCCCTATCATCCCCATTTGGATGCTTTTCAAACTGACAGTGTTTTAGTTTTATTATTTGTAAAGAATAACTATATGAGACACATTTTTGGCTTGGAAATTCTACCAGGTTCAATGGTTGGCAACAGCTAAAATTATGTCCCAATTTCCTCCCATATAAACCTTCATAAATATCCTTCAGTTTAGACTCAGGATTTTTTTTAACTTCTTTTTAGTGTATCGAAAAAATATAATATTTCTTTGGGATTTTAAGCTCTCTATAGCCAGCCTGTGCTGTAGGTGTTCAGGGCAGTGAAAGAAGCATGTGATTGGTTTTGGGAAACAATTTCAACTTTACTGCCATTTCTCTCTTTGAATGAAAGGTGAGGATACAATCCAGGAGAGACCTTTTTTGGTATTTGCTGTTATAATGAATGATTGATTTTTATTACTAGGAACCCAAACTGTCTGTTCAGTAACATTTATAATTCATTAGCTAAAACATTATTTAACAATCAGACATTTCTATCTAAGCTATTGAATGATCTTTAAAATAGAAAAGAAACACTATACCAAGCCTATCTTTGGTAAATGTATACAGTCACTATAATCTGATACCAACCCATGTACTTATCAATGACACTTACCACACCGAATCCTTGGTGAGTTTGGAATTCACGTTTCCATCTTCTTCCAGAAAGATGTCCATTTGCAAATTGGCATCATTATCATGGGCTGAGAAATAATTGGTAACAACTCTTGCTGGTATTCCAAGGCATCGCAAAACTACAGGAAAAAAGGACAGAGCACAACTAAACACATCAACCAAAATTTCATAAATAGCAGTAAAAACTCCCTTCTCATATGAGACTTTCTTCTTGACCAACATAAAAAGCCTCTTTGGAGATGTTCTCCTCAAATGTTCTATACTGAGAAAGGGTGACCATTCAACCACATGGGGACTGAAGAGAGAAATCTTGCCGTGTGATCTTTCAGAACTGCTATTGGTGCCAAACTAAACCAACTGGAGTAGAATCCCAATAACAGAGCTATATGATTATCAAAGTGGTGTTATTTTAGTCCAGTGAGTGGGAATATGTTCTTGAGAATTAAAATTTAAAAATCCACTAACAGAAAGTTAGGAATTTACAGAGCAGATCCTCAGTGGAGTTTCCTCTCGTGGCTGGAATCTGCTCTTGTGACACTCAGTGGAGGGTGGCACTACAGATTTATTTTAATTGTTAGATAATAAATGACCTAGATACTTCTCTTGCCATATGTACCTATTGATTAAACTTAATCCAAGTGCCCTCCCTGGTTCCCAGGACGCCAGACATCAGGACTCATTGAAAATAATTCAGCTGACAATTTTAAGATTAATGACTTGGCTTGCCTTTTTTTTTCTCTCTCCTTCAGAATAGTTTAGCATTTTAAACCAATGATTACCTACCTCCTTCAATAGAACAACCTTGGAAGTCTAAACCTGAATCTGGTAGAAATTCAAGTGTCCCCTCCTTAAGGGACTTGATATTAATATCCCGAACAACGACGACAGCCACCACTGTTTCCTACTCCCATTTCCCTCTATTAATTTGCAGCTACTATTCACTGACCTCTTACCAATAAAACAATTGCCACTCTTGTTCTGTTTATGGCTGAACACATTCATGTTATCACTGAACAAGATTTTGTCAAGAGTCTGTCTTACAGATAATTTTAAGACAGTTGAAGCTTGACTTTGGGACACCTGTTTTTTCTTTCTCCGATGTCTCCCTTCAGGTTTACTTTTACTCTCACTGCAACTTCTCCACAGTGGATTTCTGCCTTTTCTTAATTTACCACCAAGCCTGTTCTTAGGCACAGATCTGGTAACCTTTTCCTACCAAAGGCATAGATGTAGATGAGATATAAGGTGTTCACTATTTTATCTGGTTCTAAGCCTGAAGGAATTAAGCTGGGGTAGTGAAATTGTAGGCATGGGGAGGACTTGGGTCCTTTCTGTTTTCCTAAATTCATTCAAAAGACTGGCTTCCTCTGTTGAGAGGTTCCTACCACATTCTGACTTGGGAGGCTTGAGGAAGAGGAATGACCTCCAAACCATCATAAGTTCAGGTTTCTCTTGGGACTTTCAGAGACTAGCACTTCTAGGTGACTAATGGTCATGGCCTTTATTGCTCCCACGAAATATATACTGTATTCCTTTAGCTCTTGGGTATATTTAAATGACTAAGAAAATAATCTTAGTTGGTTTGATGCCACAGGAAAACAAAATAAACAAAACTCACGCTTTCTTTCTACTTGGATCACTGATTAAATCTTAGACTGTCACAACTTTAAGCTAAAATGAATAGGTTTTGCAATCATTCTTTAAAGATGGGCTTGCTCCAGCCTCTAGCCCCTTCTTGTTTTTCGTTTGTAATTTAAAAAATGCTAACTAGGTAAAACATTGTGTATTAACGAGCAGGCAGAAAGGACACTCCAACTTGAGTTTAATGTTTTTCTAGGACTGTGGAAATGGCAAGTGAATGAAAATCATTACCAATGATGAAGACATACTGAAATGAATGTATTTTTAAAAATATTTACTGAATTAATTGTAACATTGTCTGGGTCTAGAGAGGCAAATGTCATTTTGAAAAATGATGTGAGAGGCTGAAGAGAATAATTTTGTTCCCATATGTTTTTCTCTACAGATTGGATGTTGGGTGGATTAAAAACCAGAGGAGAAACTGGGGAAGCAAAGATTGTTCATTATGTTCTAATCTCTAATTGCTCAGGGGCATGGAGACACATGGAAAAAATGGAGATGAGACCACCTGCCATAATCCCTTTCATAGCTGGGATAAACATTAAGTGGATATATTTACAAGCATCTTGACAATATTTACATAACTTCCAGATAACAAATAAGCAGTATATATCTTTCCTTATTATTTATTATATTAGATTTTACTATTTTAATTTTTTAATATGTGGTAACTAAAAAGAAAATGGGCTATCTTTCTTCCTACATTCTTGCTTGGCCTCTATGACTCTCTATTTCTCTTGGGTGTTGAATGATGGATTATGTGGGAAATAGTTCATCATTCTTTCTATAAAGGTTCTGCAATCAAAGAGAAACTATGAGCATATTTGGCTCAGGATAATTTAATTATGCATTAACTACATCCCAGAATGCTCACCCATAAATTCTATAGAGCCAACAGGGGCCGCTAAGTCTCTTTGCCAGGTTATAGAAAAAAAAGTCTTAAAGTGAAATTTTCTTTACATTAAAAAGAAATTACTCAATTGGATACTTACATGTGTTAAAGACACCAGCAAAAACCCAGCACTGACCATATCGAACTGGATTCTCAGAGCTCTTATATTCCAGTAGAATGTCAACGCTTCCAGTCCAGGCTGATGGGGGGACCCCATAGGCATAGATATTGTCCCAGGATCCAACGAGGACACCTTCATCATCTTTGGCATTAACCTAAATGAGGCCAAAAGAGGTGAGAAGAACGTTCATCTAGACAAGTTCTCTCCAGGCTATGGCATGAGGCAAGCTGAGGCTTTCAGTGACTTTCATATACTATGTGTGGTGAAAACAGTTCCAATTGTGTTCAATTCACCGTTATGTTGTCAGGGAAAATGACACAAAAGCTAGGTGTGCGAGGAGAGACCAAATGACCAAGACTGTCTCTTAAACAGCATTTTACTATTGTAAGGTAAAGTTGAATAACAAATAGGAGGAGTCTTCACCTCTTCTTCACACGACTGGGAAAAAATTCACATAGGGTAGTTGGTTTGAGCCAGAATAGTGCTGGAGAATGACAAAAGAAGATCTGCAAAAGTACAAAGTTTCAGTGGGAATCTCGTCTTGGTAGAAGGAGAACTCAAAACTGACAAGTGAAAAATTAATGGCCTAATGGGTTTTGATTTTTAGGATGAGTGGCAGATTCTAATGAATTGAAAAAGTTAACAGATGCTGTCATAGGAACCATTAAGAGTTAATAAGAAAATAGAATTTCATTGGAGCCATATAGAATTGCGTTTTAAAAAATTTAACCTAATTATTCTCTTTATGCTTGTTTAAAGTAATTCAAGTTTTATAGTTTTGTTAAAAAAGTATTTCTATTTCCATAAAGCCTAGGATGTTATGATTTATATATGGAGGAGACTTAAGCAGAGAAAGGCAATCTTGAATATCCTGGAAAAACTTGCTATACCTACAGACTGCATGCATCTAGTAGCAGTAGACCGAAAGTGCAGGAGCAAAGATCTTTTGTGTTTAGACAATAAAACCAAGGCTAAAAGATATCAGTCTCAAGGCATCTTGCCAGTTTTTCTGGGCACTGCTGAATCTACCTTTCCTGGTGTAACTTTCATCACATTTAATTATAGTCAGAAGTGTCTAAGTGGGGACCAGTGGGAGTTTTTCCAAAAACTGGTGACACTTCAACAATTTTTATAGTTGACATGACAATGGTTTAGAGCCTTACTACTCAAGTTTGGTCTATGAACCAGCAACAGTGGCATCTCCTGGGAGCTTATTAGAAATGCAGACTCTCAGGCCCTTCTAAGACCCACTGAATAAGAATCTGCATTTTTCCAAGGTCCCCAGGTGATTTGTGTACATATTAGCTTGGAAGAGTAGGCTTAGATTATGCCGAAGAGACATTAGTAGGCAATATGAAACATGATTAAAGTATGTGTGCTTGGATTATGAAAACCACAGAAGAGATACTAGAATATTATGAATTTTTATGTGCTTGTTGCTTTACCAACTAGCAGTTCAACCTCAGCACCTATTTAGATACTTCTCCTTGGCTGACCAAGGAGTTTAACTGTAGAGGAATCTGTCTTCCCCACTGGTTCATGAGTTCATTGTGAACGGTGATAAAATCTATGTTTTTCTGAATCCTAGCAAATATTAGTTAAGAGTTAGTGCTCAATAGTTATTTAATAATCACTTGAATAGTCAATCAGCATTGCACATCTGAATAAGAACAAGACATTTTCCTTGGGGGAAAGATGTGCAGAAAACCAGTGTAGTGGAAGTAAAGGTTATTGGTATCGGTATTAAGGCAGAACAACATACAAGTAGAGTGGGGCACCAAAGGCAAGAGTAATCAGTCAGGTTGGAGAGTGGTGGTGGTGTGGGGAATAAGCTCAGTAGAGGAGATGACATGCAAGCTGGCCAGTAAAGGTCATCTACATAGTGGAAACAGTTTGAAGAAATCCTTGGTATCATAAAATAACAGGGCAGGTTCAGGGAACTGCCAGGAATTCTGCATGGTTATTATGTAAGTAGACCATAGTGAAAGAAATGGAAAATGCTCGATGAAAACACTTAAGATGTGCAAGCATCTTCTACTGCAAATGACAATGCCTCCGTTAGAATGCGAGACTTTAGCACTGAGTGGCATTTCCCAAAAAGGGTCCATCTGGGGAGTGCTGTCTAGAAGATCACTATTCGATTTGATTTAGACATGCTATTTTTTTTCCCTCTGATTCTGTATCCAGTCAAGTTAAAGCGAAAAAGAGTTTCAATAACTATCTAGCTAATTTGTTCTATGAAGAAAAAAGATACTTTGGAGGTTTCTAAAAGACCTTGTTCAGCTAATTGCAAACTCATGCCTTTGATGTAAACTTTGACTTTAGCTTGTAGATTCATGAAATGACTGGTGTGCAATAAGGTTTAGCCAACTATTCTAGCTCTATTCATGATCAATACTTCTCTTTACTGTTGAATTGATTATTTTAAAACTGGTTTCTATTATAATAAAGCCTAAGAGTGTCTTGGTAGGCTATGATGCGGTCTGGTCTTTGAGGGTAGGTAGATTCAGCTTTGAACTCACATTACCATTCCCTTATCATTAAGAAATAAAACAGGTTCTATAAATCTCAGAGGTAAAGGTTCCTAAACTGTGGTTCTAATAACTGATTTTCAAACTGTTAGCCATTAATTAGAAGGGTTATTTATAGCATACAGCTGAACTCAATCAGCTAAGGGGAAGAGTAAGAGGGAAAAAAAGCTCTCTCCTCTACAGACCTTTTAATTGTTAATGCTGAGCTGTTCCCCTGTTGCTAGATAAATCACAACTCTCATTTATTAGCATTTGGCCAGATTAGCTACTGTTTTCTAATTAGAACATTGATTTCTGGGGAGCTCAGACACTGAAAGAGATAAGTTTTTAATGACAGATGTAAAGGGTTAAAGTAATATCTCCCTTCCTAGACAACAAGATATGTTGACAGAATACATCAAGGGCATACGGGTCCTTTTGTATGCCACAGTTGACTATTGTAACACCCTATCATGAACTCATGGTGTGAGCAGTAGCAGAATAACACGTCTTGGCCTTGGTCACTGGTAGTCAAGTAGACAATATGGGCCCAAGACTATGGGCAGGGAGTGTTATGCAATATCATGAAGGCTGCACTAAATTTCCCTCCCATAGTACCTACGGTATTGGAAAAATGAAAAAGCAGCCCCCCAAAAGTCATGATCAGCAACCTCAGTTCTTCACAGCCTAATTCAATAAACTCCAAAACACAGTGCCAAGAAGAGTTGAGGATTATAGAGTAGAGCAGAGCAGAGAGGAGGCCTGCTCAGTTCCTAACCATCAATTTTTTCAGAAGCCTGAGATTTTTCATGTATATTTCAAAATATAGAAAGAAACAAACTGAATTAAAATGCTGATTTTTTTCTTGTGCTGACCAGAATGGTGGCCATAATTGCTGTGAAGAAATGAATGAAAAAGGATCTGTAATTCAAAAAAGGTAGAGATTCTGGGACTACAATGAGGAAATGATACAAAACCCAAGAGTATACCTGTCATAGAAATCAGATATACCACCAATTACAGGGAGTGGGTTCTGAAATGGGAATTTTAGCGAATCTTAAAAGACAGAGTAGAACCTAAGTGCTCTAATAAAGACTGCCCATCTCCTCAGTTAAACCCCCTTCCCCACCTCAATCTCTCTTAGAGTACTACAGAGTATATAGAATGAAGAACATTGGCCTTAAATTGTAGTTCAGAGGAAAAATTAAACTAATCTTATTTTGAAAAGACAGATAGGATTTCATTTATTAGAACAAATAGAATATCTGAAGAAGAGCTGTGTGAGTATAGGTATGAATAAAAGGAAAAGGAGCAGCATAGGGAAAAAGGGGAATGGAGAGAGAGAGAGAGAGAGAGAAAGAGAAAGATATCATGAAAAAACTCATATATAGAAGAACACAAAATTAAGGATCATAACAAATTTTCTCACAATTTCTTAGGAGACCATAGACCAAAGGAAACAAATTGGCAACCAAGTCATATCATTACAGAACTAATAATAATTATAAACTACAAGAAACAGAATAGATATTGCCAAAAATAAAATTAATTACATAGAATAAAAGCTTGAGTTAATCAGAGAAAGTGCTAATGAAAAAGACAAATATAATTTATTTAGAAAAAAGCGAATAGCTTCAGAGTTATGGAAGACAAAGATAATACCACATAAGGATAATTAACATCTTAAATAGAGAACCAAATAAATGAAACAGAACATACGTATTCATGATATAAGAAAACTTTACTTTACATTTTTTAACTTAAAAGTAGGATCTATACATTTAAAGAACAACTTGTATTCCAGGGTAATTTGATACAGAATGCTCCTTGGCTAGAAATTATAATTAATTTGTACCTTAGGATAAAAAAGTAATTGTTCAGTCATTTAGACATAAAATGCAAATTAGCAACAAGTGAGGGAATGGGATAACCTTCAGACTTTTCTAAAATACCACACAGTGGCAAAACACTGACAGTCAATATTTACATAGTCCTGAAAGAAAGAAAGGTTGACCCCATATTATGAACAGATATGATGGTATGCAGCTTTGAACTTACTCATATAAAGGCAACCAGTATACATTCCCAAACTTGAAAGATTTCAGGAATTATGGTATCCATCATAACTAACCACTTGAAAAATGATATCAAAATAACAAAGAGATGAGTCAAACAAAGAATCAGGAATAGAGACTCTGTGGTAAAAGATTCAGTGATGAGAGAAATCCATGTAAGTTAAGCATCTTTGGGAATTATAATTACAGATGAATTTTAAAATTGATAATGTAAAAACAACAATCACCCTACAAAAATTTAGACAGTAGGAAGGAAAATGGAGAGGAAGAATGAAAATGTTAATATTTCAATGTGATGGTCTCTCACAGTTAATTGATATCATCTAAAATTAAAATATAATTTTAAAGCACATAATTGCTTTATTCTTTTAATGGTTGTTATAATTTTGCAATAACCTTAGAGAGACCTATCAGGAAATGATATCTCTTGTAGTGAAGAAACATTTATTTGAAGTTCAACAGTTTCTTCTATTGCAATTCAGTTTTTTCCTATTAAAGTAACATTTAATACAATCAAATAAAACTTAAAGTTAAATAGAATGTGAGTACAATTGAATGTAATATTTTAA